GATGTCAACTGATCAGCAGCTACACGTTGAGTTGCGTACTCGCGTGTTGAAGGCGGCAGCGGCATTCGGGAAGCTAGAGTACCGAGTGTGGAACAACCATCAGCTTAGCATTGGCACGTAGCTGATGGTTTACAAATCCATGGTACTGTCCGTTCTTCTATACGGCAGTGAAACGTGGACGATGTACCGTCGGGATGTGCGATATCTCGAGCGGTTCCATCAGCAGTGTCTGCGACGAATTCTGCGCATCGGCTGGGGCGCCAGAGTTGCAGACACGGAAGTGTTGCGCCGAAGTGGGATGTATGCAGTGGACTGCATACTTTTATTGAGACACCTGAGATGGCTCGGTCATGTGAGCCGTATGGATTCGACGCGGATACCGAAACAACTTATACGGTCAGCTGAGTATTGGGAAGCGGCATGTGGGGAAACCAAAGTTACGTTACCAGGACATGATTAAAGTGAGCCTCACACATTCTAATCTTGATTGCAGATCATGGGAATCGAAGGCGGTTGATCGGCGTGCATGGCGCGATCTAATCACAAAGGCAGTTGCTGAAGTGCGGGAGAAATCCCTCATGCATGCAGAGAAGAAGCGGCAGTTGCGGAAGCGGCAAGCACCGATGGATTGTACTCCATCGACATCGAGCGCATGGTGCTGTAAAACATGCGGTCGCGAGTGCCTTAGTCAGGCAGGCCTAGTGAGCCATGAGCGAGGCCACTAGGGACCACTGCCGAAGCGACGACGGGTCCCGCAGTGAACGTATGCAGCACCGGCGCAGCGTTTGTAGGCATGCTGAATTCGATTTACTAACCGCATGCTTGCATGCTAATTATCTTTATTTCAGGTGGTGGGTTTTCGGTTCTGTCCTAATGCCTTTCTTTCTCATATAAATGTCTAGTGGGCCATGCGCTGTGCCATTTGGGGCCACTACAGAAGCGACGATGGGTCCTGCAGAGAATTACGACGAGCCGGCGCAGCGTTTGTAGGCACGCTGAATTCGATTTACTAACCGCGTGCTTGCATGCTAAGTCTCTTTATTTCAGGTGGTGGGTTTACAGTTTTTACCTTAATGCTTTTCTTTCTCATATAAATATCTCCCTGTACTCTATTCCATTAACTTGCACACATCGCTTCAGCCAATTGTATTCGATTTCCATAACATTTTGTGTTCGTGGCATACCGTGAACTATACTTCCAGACCTCGTGCACTTAGCTAGGATTTGTTTGTAAACAACTTATTACGTATGCTATTTAATTAAGGTTTATGTCACCGTTTCCTTATGCATTAATCGAGTTTTTCTCTTTTTCTTTCTCTCTCTCTCTCAAGTGATTGGCTGTTGTTTGATATCCCCGGTGTGGATGCGCTTGATGTGCATGTTGACAAGGTGCCTATCTGTCTATTACCCACTACGTCGTCCATACTGGCTCCAGGAGACAGTTGGTCGTTGCTGGAGGGGACGGGGTGCACGGTCCTTGTGGCCGTGTTAGGCTCGAAGAGTGGTTCCATTCACTCAGTGTGGAGCGGACTACGGTCCAGCCACCGCCTTGTGTGCGCTTGATTCCCAAATACAGTGTGCTTGTGTTTGCCTGTGAAGGAGTGTGGGCCGGCTCCGTTGATGAAACGTGGCTCCCATCCGCATGCCTCCCGGTCTTATTCCTTCGGGTTTACACTGGATATGGGGTATGTGGTTGGAGCTGTGGGTGATGCAGCGCAAGCCATCCATGGTCCCTCCGTAGGCGCAGGCGTCCTGTGGCTTGCCACAGTGACAGGCAAATCCGAAACCGGATGCCGCCAACCATATACATATATATATATATATATATATATATATATATATATATATATATATATATATATATATATATATATATATATATATATATATAATACACAATCTGTGGTACAGATATTGTGCCATCAAAATCATGGCTGAAGAGGAAAACAATATGAATAATAGGAAAAGAGCAACAAGAAATGCATTTTTGTCCATTTTGCAACTCACAGTTTTTGAAATTTTTTTAAAGTTTATTCTGTTTTTAGGAGGAGGAAGAAGGTACACTGCAACAAACCGGTGCACACGTCCGCCATTGAAATCGATCTTGAACCATGGCTTCCAAGGTCTTCAACCAGCAAATATCCGCATATCTCGGGCCCCAACCAGGGAGTCGACAACAACCGGCCGAGGCCAACTGTTTCGTCAACTTTTTCATGCAACTTCTCCATGTTGTAGACTGTCCACCAGATCGTCTTTTCCAGCCCTGAACAGCAAGTGCAAACAACGAACGACGTGGGTAACGCTGGACAGGCATGCGCAATACGTGTCCCAAACACCACAGTTGATGCAGTGAGATGAGCTCCTCGAGCGAATGGCTTCCACGTCCCAAGACACGCTGTCTAACTTCCACAATGCTTACGTGGTGCTGCCACCACACACGGGCAATGGACCGCAGACAGCGGTGCTCGAAGACGGATAGCCTGCGCAAGTCCTCTTTACGAATGGGCCAGTTCTCGCATCCGTACAACAGTAGAGTGCGAACAGTTGCACAATAGACCCGCCCTTTGATGGAGAGACGAATGTCGTGAAGACGCCACAAATGCCTCAGCCTAGAAAAAGCGAGGCCTGCTCTCGAGATGCGCATCGAAATCTCGTCTCCAACAGCCCCGCTAGCAGTGATGCAACTTCCCAAGTAGACAAAGCTCTCCACAACCTCTAGTGTCTCACCAGCAAGCGAGAGTGCAGGCAGAGGCACCTGCCAGTCTTGAAGGAGAGCCTTGCATTTGGATGGCGAAAAGTACATACCGTACTTAGATGCTTCAATCGCCAAGCGGTTTAATGCAAGTTGGACGATGTGTGGGTCGTCACCCAGCAAGACGATATCATCAGCATAATCCAAATAAACAACTCGACTACCTGAGAGGAGCTCAACGCCAGCATTCAACAAATCGCCTAGAGTGTTCTTCAAGACATCCTCAATGGCAAAGTTGAATAGGAACGGAGAGATAGGGCATCCTTGTCGAACTCCACTGGAGACCACAAAGGTAGGCGAAAGCTTGCCATAAGCCCTAACCCTGCCCGAGGTCAGACTATGTAGAGCGCTCAATATGGAGACGAACTTCTCGGGGACACCATTCCTAAGTAGACAGTGCCACAGTACTGTACGATCGACAGAATCGAAAGTTGCACGGATATCCAGGAACACAGCAATCGTTGGCCTCTGATACACATGGCGGAGCTCGAGGATCTGGCGGGGTTTGAAAATTTGATCGATGAAGCCGCGACAAGAGCGAAACCCAGCTTTTTCTTCTCCCTGCAACGATTCGCGTGTTGGGAATAGCCTGCGAAGTATGATGGACAACAGCAGCTTTCAAACGACGGAGACTAAACTTATTCCTCTGTAGTTGGAGCAGATTGTGCGCAGGCCCTTTTTGAAGGTGGGGACGACTATCGATTCACCCCTAAATGTTCGGCCCATCGCTCCAACCGTTGTTGAAGATTGGTGATTAAGGTGCCATCCTCTTCGCATATCGTTTCACTTATACTAGATCGAACACCTTCGGTGACTCGAAAGAGATGGAAGAATTTTCTGGTATTACCGGAGAGACCAGCAAGCTCCATCTCCCTAGCACGTTCACACCACCAAGCTTCACGATGCATTTGCAGACTCCTGCGCAACTCTCGACCAAGGGATTGGCGTTCTTCACTGTGTCTGGAATCCGATGAGAGCAAGCGGCGTCTGTCCATCAGCGACAAGGAGTCGGCGGAAATCCAATGCTTCGGTGGGTGACGGGTAACCCCACAAGTGTCGATACTGGCGGAAACTAAAGCATCTTTGATATGCGTCCACTGCGAATCGAGATCACCGGCAGTAGTTGAGCCATAGGTTGAACTCCCTGGTTCGCGGCGCAACCGGAATCGCAGACAGATTGCTGAACACAGGAATCAGGTAACGGAAAGTAAGGATTGTTAGCAAACAAATAATTGGTGTGTGATGAAGTCGCGTGAATGTGAGAAGCACAATCGGCAGCTGATGAGCACGTTGCAGTACAGTTTATGGGTTTGTGAGAGGGTATGATCCTACCCGGTTACCTAAGCCGAAGTAGGGAATTGACTTTGGGGACCCTACCCCGAGACTTTGGCTAAATAACCTACCCGCAAGGCAGCGGGGCGAATTCAGGGAATCGCGCACATTGGGAGTCGCTGACTGAATGTTCAGTTCACGCCTTTGTTTGGTAGATCACCAAGCAGGGGCCTAATATTCCCCATGAAACCAGCAAAATTTCCGGACTACAATGCCCCACCGATGTGGAACACTGTCGCCGAACACTTCGCTGGAAAGGGGGACAAGCAAACCACCCAGCTGGCATTACGAGGAGGTAGTTCGGCAAGCTAGCCGGTCATGATATACAGTGTTACGAGCCCGTAGCGTTTAACAAGTATCCTCCAGACTGACGAGGTGAAACAGGATTCCGGAACAGCCACATTCTCTGCTGGGAGACAGATGGAGAGTTTAGCCCATATACTCAGTAGAGATGAAAGCAAAAGATTATCGAATCGTTAGCGCGCTTCGGTTTGGTAGATCTCGACCAAGTAGCTAACAGCAGCGGAGAGTGATGGGGTGTCTAATCGACAAAAGATGAAGCAATACACGATGGTGAAGAAGGGGATGGACAAAAAGTAAAAAAGCGACAGAGGTTTCGGATAGAATGACTATCAGTTAAAAGCCGAAGTGCAAATGCAACGACGCTGCCGTTCACATAATGTCTACAACCACTGAGCTGGACAATTCGGTGGACTCAACAAGACCCAGGAGCAATGTTTTCATTTGATGTGTTGCCGCTAAACAGTCGACCGAGTAACTGGGAAATTCGCTAGGTAGATAGTATTTTCGACTTACAAGTGCGTCGATAAGTCATTAGTATAAAAAACACGGCGAACCTAAGTGAATCCGCCAGAGGCATACACGTGAATAAATAAACCATAACCAGAGAACATACCACGTGTTTCTCAATTGTGCCAAATTGGGCGAACTGGCCGAGAATGAATGAGGCACGGCACGTCGGGTAGCTGAAACAACACAGACGGGAGTAAAACTCAGGCAGACGGAGAGAAAAATACACGATAAAGGATAGGTTGCAGGTTTTTCATCTGGTAAGAACGTGATAACCCAGTTGAACAGGTGAAGAAACCACAGACAACCAAGCCAACAACACTGGTGCTAGTGTGGAATACCACAGATCCCTTTCTCTCAGATAAAAAAGGTGGAGCGGCAGCAGAGGATGATCAACGGAAACACGCCGTAAAAACTGGTTGAACTTCAGCACGACACTCTCGGGAGATACGCCACGCATCCCAATAGGTAGGTGGCAGGTTTACCTCAGGCAATCGAAAATTTAATCCGGGTTTCAGGAAGATATGACAAGCTGGCTGATGAATTCACACGTGGGAGTGTGTTTCACTTCATCTCCTGATAGTAGCCAATGACGATGAAATGAAAGAAAAAAATGAATCATATGGTAAAAGCGAGAGATTGAATCGGCGGAGAAAACCAGCGCGAATTTCAGCACTGAAAGCCATTGAAAATTTGATTCAGAAATCTAAGACCACGGATGCTATTGTGTTTGAGCTTAATTCCGTATATAAGGATTTGTCGGCGAATGAGTACTTCGTGAGAGTTCAGACCAGGGCTAGTAGAATTGTGTTGATCGCGCACCTTGCTTCGTTCATACAGCCTGATTAAATGTGATTTGCGGCGGTGAGCATGAAGCGCTTGAGCTAGTACGCCATCTGTCATCATTATCATTATACGTGTTAGCCAGAGGTGGGACACACAGCAATATAAGGGAAAGGAAGAAAAACGCATCAGAGGCAGGCCAGCTGAGCTACCAGTTGCAGACGGACATGATTGCGGAAAGGTAACAGTCGACTATAATGCTGAAATGAGATCATCGTTGGAGGGTGAGGCTAAGCGGAAGAGGGAGGGACAAAGAAACCCACAACACGAACGCCAATGACGTCGGCTCTTTGCCATATCGATAAGTGTATCCAGCAAAACATGTTCATCATCTTGCGGGCTCCAACCGAGACCAACTTCGAAAGGTCTTATTCCTCTTGACCAAGCCATCACTTGGCTTCTCTTGTTCTATCCATTCCCCGGCGCACAAACAACGCACGTCGCTGGAGCCGCTGTGCTCGCATGCACAACACATGGCCGAGCCATTGGAGCCTGGTGCGTAATATGACGGTGCTGAACGGTTTACTTCTTTTTCCTGTGCCATAAACAAGGAACCGACCGCTGTCATTGCTCCCTCGATGTTCCCACCAGATATGAGCCAAATTGCGAAGGCACTAATGGTCGAATGTACCCAGCCACTTTATGTCTACCACTCACAGTCTGTGTGTATCTCTTCTTTCCTTTCTTTTTTTTCCCTTTTTCCTTCTTTCCTTTTTTTTTTTTTTTTTTTTTTTTTTTTTTTTTTTCCCCCTTTTTTTTTTTTTTTTTTTTTTTTTTTTTTTTTTCCTTTTCCCCCTTTTTTTTCCCTTTTTCCTTTTTTCTTTTTCCCCTTTTCCCTTTTCTCCTTTTCCTTTTTTCTTTTTTTTTTTTTTTTCGGGATGATATGCAGGTAAAAGGTGCTGCCGCATCTTCCCTATGGCAACCAAACATGGACACCATACAAGAAGGGGCGATCACATCAACAATGCCTACATCGGACTCTGTGCAACCGTTAGTGTGACGGTGTTTCTCGACACAAAAGTGATCAGCCGGAGTGGAATGTACGGAATGGGTCGCATGATATCGCTTTGACAGTCGAGCTAGCTCGGACAAATTCGCTGCATCCATGCGACCAGGATACCGTAGCACCTGGTGCATGACTAATTGCGTGGAGGGAAACGTAAGGTAGACAAACCGAAGCTGTGTCACCCAAACATAATCCAAATGAGTTTATCACGAAATAACAGGTCATCCGTAAGGGTGTGATCACATCAAAGGTGTCGTTACCCAAGCTCATGAGAAAGGACTAGTGCAGCAAAAAAATACACTGGCTACGCGAGCGTGAGACATGGAGATCATGCACCTGGTACTGTAGCACGTGGGGCCGTGTGTACCTCCGCCGAGCCGGTTTCATAGGGTATCGGTATAGCCACGAGGGGCAAATGTCGAAAATGCGATGGGTAAGTTAATTAGATAAAGGTCAGCGGAGGAACATCACACTGCATTTTGCTGCATTTACTAATTTAGGCCAATGATGTGGCATAGGTATGAGGTCATGCCAGAGTGAACGGACGGGCCAACCGAGCAAGCCAAATAGCCAATTGGGGATGGACGTAACGGATTTGTATTTTGGGTATGGATTGGCCGACATTCATGTGAGTTAAGCATCGTTTGCTTAACTGAGTCAAAGGAAGAACCTCATCGCCTCAGAAGGGTTGTTAGTTATGGACGTAAACGCGTAACTTACGTCGAGGAGTTTGGCTTGACAAATATGCTGTAATTTTCGCTGAGTTGACATTGCCGAATAAACGCTTGTCCCTGAAAGACTGAGTTCCGCAGTAGGTGTAATATGTGTCACACCGCTGAAGTTGGTTTGTACATATACTTTTGAGTTTATGTTATCGCATTCTGACGGTCCTTTCAAGTTGATATCACAAGTATGTAAATGTTGGCAAGACGCCTACATGTCGAAAACAGTCACATCGATTAGTGGTTCCAGGAAACTGTTAATCGTTGCTGGAAGAGACGGGTTGAGTTTTCGTGTCCGTTTCAGTTTCAAACAGTGGTTCCATCCATCATGAAACAGACCACAGCTCAACCACTAACCTGTGTACGAAGGGCATGCATATCTCTACAATTTTATTCGAGTGATGTGCATGTTGAGAGAGTGTGATTTCGATCCAGTCTTATTTCTTCGGGTTTATATGATATATGGGGTAGCTGGACGGATCGGGCTTCATGTGGTGGTTCGCAGTCCAGATGCCACGAACCATATACATGTCACGACTCGCAGTATTCCTATACGCAAGTAACCAATTCCATGCCGCGTTTACCTCATTAGTTCATCTCCCTCACAAAAATAAAACGCAAGGTCTAACTAATGACATATGTGAAGTTATTGATGAAGAGATTGTTTGATGTAAGTGGAGTTGAACACAAAATACTACTGCGACAATCGTACTCATCTGCTGTCTACGAGACCCACATCGCAGGCTTCGATAGTCATTCGCTTTTCGTGCGTGATGAAAAGGCAGAGCTCTTGAGGACCGGAACAAATGACCAGCGCATTTTTACTCCCGAAACCTGTCGGTCTTCCTCCCCCCAAAACAATTCCGTGAGTAGATCCCTAAGTACTGGCATAGATCAAATGAGAACACACATTCGAAAGGACCAAAAGTGCGCATACAGGGCTATCTGTGTATACTTCTATTGACACTTAGCGTAATGCGAGTTAACTGAATATAAAAAATAATAAATCGCCAGCTGCACGCCGTAACGGCGCTTCGCTGCCACGCGACCACCATCAGTCGCGCGTGGGCTGGGTATACCGCTAGGACGCTCGTCCCTACGCGGATTCGAACCGGTGACCTTATGGTTACAAACTAGACGAGCATACCACTCGGGCACCGGCCAACATGAGTTAAGTGAAGTCGATTCCGTAAGTAAAAAAGTAAAAGGAGTGATTGAAAGGTGCACATTTGTCTATTGACAGTGAGCAAACAAGTGATATTGTCTAAATATACAGATGACCATAGGTCTGCCAAGAAATACCGGAAAGAGAACGATTAAACACCCAATGCCTTGCGCAGGATCTTGGCCCAGAGGATGTGGGAGTATATGAACTGATCACATAAGGAGTTCATTACAGAGTGAAGTATTTGGTCGCCCAATAAGTATACAATTTGTTGCAAATTAAAAGAAAGGACCAGAGATAGAGGCAAGAAGCTCAAGTAACTGTGGCATAAGCGTGTTACCCGAGACCAAACTACAATGGTGTCATCTGGCGGACTTCAAATCTCAGTTGTTAGAACTGCTCGTTCCCTTTAAGTGATAACCCAAACGATTCTGTGAACGAAAACAAAAGTACTCGCATCACTTTCACAATCGGCTGGTCATCTTGTGCACAATGCCTAGACTTGACCGTGTAGGCAAGAGAATCAGGGACATGAACATCGGCACCAGTCTTCAATAATCAGACTATGAAAAAGAAGGAGAGATAAGCCTCCAAGCTGTGCGTACTTGTGGAGGCAGGTGTGGACGAGAGGAGAACCCAAGTGACGGCTTAGACACAACGGACAAGTCACTCAATATGCCCTTTCAAGCTTCGCGATTGATGCACCAAGCGTGACGAACAGATGCCGCAAAATGCGACTTGTGACCAAGCAGACCTCGGTGGGGAGTACAGTGTGAATGTGCTGCGTGCACCCAATATCCCATACAGTGGTTTCTCAAAAAGGCATCTATGTATTCGTGTGCGTCTCATGAAGAGTTTCCAGTTTCCCACTAGGCTGAAACGAAATGACGAAGCGGCCCCATAGTGGTTAAGGATGAATCCGTGAATAGACCAATGTTTGTGAACGTTATGGATGGAGTTGAAAGAAAACAAACCTTGGTTGTGAATTGAGCACGCTAATCAAACGGTCTGGAGTGAGGATGCCGGCCCGGTCGTTTGTTGCGAGTGGAGATTGGACAAAACACATAGAGCGAGGTTGCGGATTGGAACCCCGCATACCAGGAGTCACTGGGAGGGAAGGGGAGCGAAACTGGCCTCCAACCGCGCCATGCGCCGTATCAATCATTGCAGCGCCAGTCGGCGTGCTGTGCCGGATGCTATTTGTATCCCAAACTCCAGACAATGGGTTGTTGGGTCGCGATGGGACAGTTTGTTGGACGGTAGACCACAAGCCCTGAGTTGGGGGAGAAGCAAGACGCTTCCCCACTCGATCTGAATGTTTAATGCCGCCGTTCAAGTGATGCTTCAACAGAAAGGGAAATAAACATGGGGAAATATCCGGAACAGACAGATTAAATCGTGACTTAGGAAGATGGTAAACAAGCAGAAGAACGGTTCTATGACTACTGTGATAGTTCGCTCCCGATACAACGGGAGCAAACACTTACATGATGACTTAAGAGAGTGGAATGGGGATTCTTACAAAAGTAGACATAAGCAAGAAATGAGAGATAGCATATGACACTTTCACAAGATACGTGCGCAGTTGGTAGCATAGCAAACAGTGCAAGGCTTGTCAGGCAATAAGTAAGTGGAGGACCACCATGTAAATATGAGTATAAAGGGATGGCCACATCAGCAGAGACCTGAGTAAAAAAAGATGCACAAGCGGTTCGTCGGTACTTCGTACCGACGCTTCGCTGCATCACAGGCACCACCAGTCGCGCGTGAGCTAAAGATAACGCGAGAGTCGCACGGTCCCCACACAGGCTCGAACCCGCACCCTCCGGATTACAAGGCAGACTTGTTATTTTTAAGCCTAGGGGGCGGCAAAGTCTGAAAAGTTCTACTATTCAGGGAACCGAGGGATAATTGTCATCGGCCACGTTAGACAAAAAGGCATGAGTAGTACGCCGGCACGCAGTACTGACACTTCGCTGCTGCGCAACCATCACGGGTCACATTGCGAAGGTCTCCCTGCCATTACGCAGGCTCGAACCCGCGCCTTCAGATTACAAGGCAACGTTAGACAACATTGCTGTAAATCGGTAACTCTGTTATCCACAAAGTCAACAACTTTAATAGGTCGACATTTGATAGAATTCAGGGTGAAGTTGCAGAGTGGCTCGTTAGCTGCCGTCATCGGAAAAACTACACAATCCCCATTAAAGATTTACACAGACCACTCTTCATCAACACCACTATTGAAGCCAAAATCCAATCTGCACTACTGCTGATGAATCCGATAAAGATAACGCAACGTTTATCGTAACATGACTTCGGTGGTCCTATCGACTGCACACGACGTTCAGTTACATGCTGATTAAAACAAAGCTCATTTATCATTCACAAAAAAACGTGTTCCCTACCAAGACAGACTATTTGAAAGTAAAAAGAAAAAGGTAACAACAATACGTCAGAACTTCGCAGGGGCAATTTGTTGCCACATATCCAACACCCATTGCATACTTTCGCGAGTCCGAACAGGTGACACGCAGATTGAAAACCGACGGAACCACTCTCAAAAAGCGACTGGGCAACATGACCAAAAGATATGCTTTCTTGAGGTAAATCCAACTACATCACGACGACAAAAGACGTCCAGGACTGTCAGGTGAGGAAACCGCTAAATAGAAAAGATCCCGAAGCTCCAAGCGATGTCTGTCATCAACCTAAATATGTGAAAAGTGAAGGTTAATGGTCTTGTGAATGAAATGCACTTGGCTTAGTTTATTAAGTCCTCTGTGTTGAGTCGGTGTTTTATAAGGAACAACCCTTTACTGTTTCATAATATCCACATACTTGGGAGTATGTTCGATACAATACACACTGGAGGTAGCCACACTGACAAGATCGCTAAAGGGCGTGTGGTTTACACCGCTGAGTCACATTCAATAACTCAAGAGGAAGAGATACGGTTGTGAGACGATCTTTATTCTGCTATGTTGCCCTTTTAACTGTTGTGATATAATATGATCTCCGTGCGGATGAGCTACCAGGCACCGCAAAACACCACTAACGTGGTCATCAGCGATAGATCAGTAAAATTTAATCCACCACCGAGTGACTAGACATCCTTTTGTCCAAAAACATGATGGTCGAAACATGCGATACGTTTCATGAAGTCAAAAGGCTATCATTCCAAGCTTTCAGGGCTAAAAAATTTTCTGTGTTCTGTAGATTAACCACAAATCGGAGACCGTGTATAATCTACCACAATGATTACACTGTTCTTCCGTAGGTTTTTCATTGTAACTTAAAAAATCACGTCCTAAACGCATGGTCGATACAGTATGTTCCTCGAGGAAGTGGAATACCTAAGAATCGTTTCGTTGATAATAAGCATTTCAATACGTGAGTCAGACTTTCGTAAAAAGCTGCCACGTGACTTCTCCTGAAATCTATATAATTACGGGATAAGACTGACAGGGGACAAGGCAAAAATGGCAACACTGTGAGCCGACTGCACAATTCTTCCAAATGCTTGGCCCAATGTTCACAGGAAAAGGTTCCAGTAGGGACGAATCGTTGATTCCTCTGAACGGCTAGTTGAGGGATCGCGTGATCCAGTGTTTCGGACTAGTCCAGAGAACGGTTGACTGTTTCAAACGCTACTGGTCACTGTCGGGCACCCGAAGAACCTAGTGTAGAACGTCGTTTCGAGGCTTCGTGAACACGCTGAAAGTAACCACTCAAGCGGAACAAATTCCGTGTAATAACAAAGACAACTGAAGTCACAGAAACTACATCCAGCTCCCCATGCTGTGCGAACAAATAAGATACACCTAATCGTGACAACTAACGTCGCAAAGCCGATTGGCAACTGAATGTGGTGACTGAGGGTCCAGGCACAAGTGAGTGACTGAAAGGCGATATTAGGCAGCTAAGCAGACCAAATACCCATGCAAGGCATTAATGCACTAGGCCGTGCTAACAGTTTGAACGGGAGTCACGCCGAACATGCGATCAGCACCGATTGTGTGAACGAGGTTGTACTATGAATTGCGATCAGTCGATTAATTACGGAACACGGGGGCAATGTGAGTGGCTGGCGAACTCGGGTAAACGTCGAATGAGGGAACAGGGGATATACCACGGCGCAAACAAACTGCCAAATATGATAACCGGGGAGAAACAGAATCCCTTTACATTGACTGAGGGATGAAGAGGCCGATGACAGAGGGTTCAAGGTTCCATAATTAGACGTTCTGTTGACCGTTCCCCTCCCCGGAATATACACCGTCTACGGAGTCTTGCTTTTTGGTTTACCACGGATTGGGCACCAAGCAAAAGGGATCAAAGGCAACAGTATCGCAAGCGATGCAGCACAACAGTGGCGACGGGAAATCCAGACGAACTCAAAGATACCTGTCAGTTTTGAACAGTTGCAAATTCTGTTGCAGCATCATCATCATTATACACGCTAGCTGCAGGTGGAAAACACCTCAGCTATGGTGTCGCAATACAAAAGAAAATAAGGTGAAACAGAGGAACGCCGGCTGAGTCACCAGTAGCGGATGGACATCGTTCCGGAGAGCCAACAGTCGGATATTGTGCCGGCACAGTTTTAAAAAGTGCAGGCCAGATTGATTGAGACGCTGATCCAGAAATTGTCAATACATTAGGGCGCGGTATCAGCGGGAAGTGAAAGTGCCCTTTCCCAGAAACTCTAACGCAGCAAATTGGCGAGTTCCATTACGATCCAGAGGACGGCATCACTTTTGATGCGTAGTTCCATAAATACGAAGACATATTTCGTGCTGATTTGGTCAACATCTCAGATGACAATAGATAAAGTTCAGATTACAAAATTTACTAGACATGCTGAAAAAGGTGCTCGTGCGTCTAGAAAAAGCTGGTTTCAGACTATGTGTGAAAAGGTGCAATTTCCTTATGGAAAGTGTCAAATTTCTGGGATTCCTCACTGACAAAATGGTTGGCGTCCGGGTCACGCCAATACAGAAGTCGTGAAACAGATGCCACCATCAAAAGATGTTACCGAACCTCGGTCATTTCACGATCCCGGCAGTCTTTATAGTGCTTTCTTGTCAAGTCTTCATCAGACAAGAGGTCCACTGAACGAGTTTCTAATGAAAGAAAAATAATGTCGATGGACAAAGGATTGCCAACATTCATTTATACATATACATATACATATACATATATATATATATATATATATATAATACACAATCTGTGGTACAGATATTGTGCCATCGGTCATGGTTGAATAGGAAAACAATATGAATAATAAGAAAGAGCAACAAGAAATGCTTTTTTTGTCAAGTTTACTACTCACAGTTTTTGAAATTTTTTTCAGTTTGTTCTTTTTTAGGGGGAGGAAGAAGGGACACCGCAACACACTGATGCACACGTCCGCCATTGACATCGATCTTGAGCCATAACTTCCAAGGTCTTCAACCAGCAAGTATCCTCATCTCTCGGACCCCAACCAGGTAGTCGACAACAACCGGCCGAGGCCAATTGTTTCGTCAACTTTTTCATGCGGCTTCTCCATGTTGTAGGCTGTCCACCAGACCGTCTCTTCCAGCCCTGTCCAGCAAGTGCAAACAACGCACGACGGGGGTAACGCTGGACAGGCATGCGCAATACGTGTCCCAACCACCGCAGTTGATGCAGTGAGATGAGCTCCTCGAGCGAGTAGCTTCCACGTCCCAAGACACGCTGTCTAACTTCACATTGCTTACGTGGTGCTGCCACCACACACGGGCAATGGACCGCAGACAGCGGTGCTCGAAGACGGATAGCCTGCGCAAGTCATCTTTACGAATGGGCCAGGTCTCGCATCCGTACAACAGTACAGCACGAACAGTTGCACAATAGACCCGCCCTTTGATGGAGAGACGAATGTCGTGGCGACGCCACAAATGCCTCAGCCTAGAAAAAGCGAGGCGTGCTCTCGAGATGCGCATCGAAATCTCGTCTCCAACAGCCCCGCCAGCAGTGATGCAACTTCCCAAGTAGACAAAGCTCTCCACAACCTCCAGTGTCTCACCAGCAAGCGTGAGTGCAGGCAGAGGCACCTGCCAGTCTTGAAGGAGAGCCTTGCATTTGGATGGCGAAAAGTACATACCGTACTTTGATGCTTCAATCGCCAAGCGGTTTAATGCAAGTTGGACGATCTGTGGATCGTCACCCAGCAAGACGATATCATCAGCATAATCCAAATCAACAACTCGACTACCTGAGAAGAGCTCAACGCCAGCGTTCAACGAATCGCTCAGAGCGTTCTTCAGGACATCCTCAATGGCAAAGTTGAATAGGAACGGAGAGATAGGCCAT